TATTTTCCCTATAAGGTAGGTTGAGCTGAGAGAGGGCTACTGGCCCAAAGTCCCCCAGTGAGTTTCCATGGTAGAGGGTGGACTTGGACTTGATCCACCCTCTTCTTAGACCAATATTTTAACCAGTTCGTGTGATACCTCATGGTAATATGTCAGTTTTTGAACTACGTAATGGCATTTGAAATCATTTTTATATTACTTGAATAAGTATTTGGTATTTCAAACATTCATTTTTCTTACTATATTAATATAATATAGTAATATTATATTAATTAGATTTTTGCCATAACAGCTCAAGATACCTATAAACCATTTGTGTGGATTTCTGGAGAGGGGGCATTTCTGGCTTGGATTTGCATAGGATTATGTCATTTCACTGGATTGCCGCCAAGTTTCAGATGTATACCCGCTTATTCTACTTTCTGAAAAGGCCATTTTTTTCTATTAAACAACAACAACAACAACAAAAAGACCTCGTATGTTTCTCTTTGGCACAGATTTCATGATATTTTAGAATAGAGGGTTTTTTTTATTTGAAATTTTCATTTACTGTTTAAGATGTAATATACAGGTGCTATGCCTAGACCGTTTATATTTTTCCCTTATTTCTGTTTTTCTTGTTTTATTTACAGTTAGTGTGTGTGTGTGTGTGTGTGTACACACACATACACACATGTATATTGGTTGTTAAGGGTTTTTCTACATTTTTATTTTTTTTTAATTGTAATAAAATAAATAAGATTTGTTTTAAAATAGAGAAATCCTTTTGAAACATATCATGGAGGAGTGTGGGACAGAGGTATCTGAAATAAGAGAGAAAATGTATTTCTGGAAGTAGAATAAAGCAATTTGAAAAACAGATTGCATGGTGCTACAGTAAAAGATGTTTCTATCAATTAAACCACATACCTGTTGTGACATGTTTTTGATCTCTGTGGAATCACAGCAAACTCCGTCTTTGTTTGCAGTAAAACAAGTAGAAAAATAATGCCAACATGAATGAACGGGAAGAATGGGAAGGGAGGGTAAAATGTTTCTTTCACAGCTGGACTCAGAGCCAGATGTCCAAAACACAACAGTGGATGGCTAGGGTTAATGTTGTTGTTTCTGATCCTCCCTCCCTCCCTCTCTCCCTCTCTCCCTCCCTTCCTTCTCCTTTTTGCTTCTTGTACTTTCCTGTTTTTCTTTCTCTTTCTTTCTCCCTTCCCTTCCCTTCCCTTCCCTT